TCTGTTGTTGTTCTGGTTTTTAAGAAATTGGCATCATGGGAATTGGGCTATATTTTTTTCAGAATCGCAGACTGCCCTTGTGAAATTATTTCATTATTTTTTCTAAGCATTTCGCGGCTAATGAAACTCAATGGGCTGTCTCTCGTGTTATTTTGAGTTGCTTTTACTAGTTTGTTGAAAACAACATTTGAGAATTTTGCATGCCCTAAGAAGAGCTTGGTTGTTAATCAATACTAAGTGAAGTAAATAAATGTACACATAAATATCAACATGATTTTTTGAAGGTCTACTTGTTGGATCAGAACTTTAATGAGAGTCAAATGAAATTAGAATTCACAGGGTTCAGATTAGCTATGAATGCTTATTCAAAACACATTCATCTCCTTCTCAGGATGAACTGTAAGAAATTTGCTGAGCCCTTAACTTTTCATCTCGCTCCATCTTCAGGTCAAACTTTGACTCTTTTAGTACCTTGGTTTATGGCCGATTAATCGAAGATTATTCGGCATTTTGAGATAATCGGCATCGACTGATGTCTGTGCTCACGAGGCCGATTAAAAAAAAAAACCTGACACATTTGCAGGCAGCCTTGTCAGTATGGCTGTTACGGAACAATGTTAGTGCTCTTGTGAATTTTGGGTGGAGCAAAAGTTAGTTACAAATGCTGTACTGCATCCTGCTGTTAACATATGCCTGAATTTCCAATAGAATAGAATAGAATAGAATTGTACATAGATTTTTTTTGGTTTTGATATCAGCGTTATATACCGGCCATCGGCAGCCCAGCTCTCTAAATATCGGCCACTGAAAATCCCATATCGCGACTACTAATTCCCATCATCCCCACTGGGTTTTTAATTGGTTGTAAAACAGTCTGTTTTTTTACTGATGCCTCTATAGACCTACATAAACAAACAAGACCATCAGTGACAAGATTGGCTAGTTCTATATGAATATTCTTATTGCCTGCTAACAAATCAATAAAGAAATAAAAAAATTGCGGCTTTTCCAAAGTGGGTGTGTCATATTCTACAGGTTGTTTTGCATTGTGCTGCGCCCTCTGTTGATGAAACATTCTTGATTACAATGGCAAAACTGGTGGAAACATGGACAGGTTTACTAGATATCACCAATGTTCCAAGAATCTTGAACAGAACCAGTTCAAGAACCAGAGCTAATTATGTGGAAACACACCTAATGTTAGTGGAAAGACCAACAGGGAACCGTCTCCGTTCTGGTTCAAGCACCTAGTTTATTTTAAAAGTGTGCATTATTACCAAAAATAAATTGGTTCGGAACCTGAAAAGTTGGTTCCCAGCTGGAACTAAAAAATAGCCTATTTTCCTTGGGAACTAAAATGGGAATGTAATACATACTACAGATTGTTGTTTATTCTGCAACGCCCTCATTTCATGACACATCTTTGATTACAATGGTTTTGCTTAAAACTGGTGGAAACACGGTCTGGTTCGCTAAATAGCACCAAGAATCTTTAACTGATTAAAAAATCTGAGCTAATTGGTTGGAAACACATTGATGGAGCTGCTAGCATGACTGTTGTCTAGACCCCTCCACTCCAATAATCATCCATCCTTAATTTAGTAGGATTTAGTAGGATTAGTAGGATATTTATGTAGGATGGTGAGTTGTGCTCAAGAGTGCTAAAATCAGAACATCCCAGACTCTGTTGCATCAAACAGCCAACTCACCAATGTGGTTATTTTCAGTTTTATGTGAGGATAGAATCTGCCTGTGTGTCTCTGTCAGCCCTGTCACCTCTATCACTGCTTCATTAGTCTGATTTTGCAGAGAGTCAAGTGTTGATAATTTAACATGAGAAAGACATCTTTTTGTCAAGTCTGCTTTTAATGAACCGGTGCAAAGCTCCTGCCAGGTCACAGTCTGGAGTGCAAGAAAAGTTCTCTGTGACACCACTTTCTGTGTTTAAATCTCAAGGAGGATCGGTTTTCTTTTTATCACTTTGCTTTGTAGCAGGAAGCCTTTCCATTCCACATTTAATAGAAGTTCAACACTGTACAATAAATTCACCTTCAAACCAAAGCAGACAAGAAAAAGCTTTGGACACGGTTGAAGTGTGGAGGCCAGAGGCAGTGATCACATCATATGTGACCAGATATGGATTTTCATTTCAATGCTGGTGGTAAACGGGGTGAAACTGCAGCCATGCCACTGACTAACCTTACATCAATACAGCAGAGGCCCATTCTGTGCCCCAGAATTGTTGGAAAATTGAATGCTGAATAGAAGTGTTTCTTACTGCATAGAATCCGATGAAAGAGTACGGCTGCCTCCAATCCAAATTCGCAAGACCCTTTGATGTTTGTTGGAATAATTTTATGCCTACTTCTCATTTTTCCATTTTATGCTTTGCTTTTGAATTTTGATTGCGACTACAGGCACTTTTCAATTGATATGCATTATGAACTCTGTAATAATTCAAAGGCCTTTGTTGAGGAACAAACATGTCATTTGTCCTGAAAATGAATTTTATGACTTATTGTGTAACTGTGCACCTTTGGTGAGTTTAGAGAGAGCGGTTGCCAGGCGGTTATTGTCTCCTTGTTTTGGAAGAGATTTGTACTTTAAGTGTCATGAAGTTTTTTTGTGTGTTTAATTTCATTGTTGAAATAAAATGTCTTGTTTGTTGGTGTTTTTGCATTGTTCTTGTACATACATTCACGCTTCAGCAGCCATGGTATGGGATGTGTTTCTGCATGATGTCTGTATGTGTGTATATTTATGGATGCACGATTGCCTGCTCAAATTTGGCGTTTGGTGGCTCGTTCCTTCGAGGGATGGCGAAACTTGAGAGGCCGCCTAAAATACTGTGCAGTAATTGGAATTGCTTTATCTTCGGTCTCATCAATTAATGTGCAATTTTCCATTTAATCACTAACACGCTCGCTGCATTTGCAATTAAAATGAGGGCTGATAACAGAGAAGATGCCTTTCAGCTGATACCAGTTGGAATGAGAACAGAAACCAGAAGACGCAATCAGTACACAAAATGACTCCCAGAGACATGCACATGGCTCAAAAACAAGTGTGAACACACGCAGTGCAAACAGTCATGCTCATATAAGACTGCACTGAACACACACACACTCATGCACACACAAGCGCAGTATGATATGATAGAACATGCAGATTTGCAGCTAAAACCTCAAATTAGAGCTTGTCAATGGAACTAAACCAGCATTTAACGTCAAAATGTTGGCAGCGTTGGCGGATTCGGATGCCACTCAAATCGAGGAGGGTCCCAGCCAGTTGTCTTGTCTTTTCCACTCTGAGACATTGCCAGGGACTGGGTCTCAGTGGGGGATGAGCTCACTGGCGGGGAAAGTCTGTCATGCATTGTCCTGATTCTGAAGAGAGGGATCACTTCCCGTCTGGCTGCAGGAACTTGAAAACGTATAAAGTGCAGGGCTCGACACAGAGATGTGTAAGACTATAGTAGTACAGCGGGGGGTTTATAGTGCTGCTATAGGCCTATAGTGTAACACTGCTGCAAAAGTGTTCATTTATAGTTTTAGTAGAGTTTTTTATATATATATATATATATAATGTTCATTTAGCATGATATCAATTTATGATACTTCTTTTATAGTAAGATCCTTAGGTGGCATTCTTGTAAAAATTATTTGACTATTAAATTGTCACCAGGCTGTGACCTCTCAACTCACTCTCAGAGTCACATACTACAGATCCTCAGCTTTGGTGGCTCAGGTGGATTTATTGCACATTTTTATTTCCTGAGGCGTTTCGCTCTGAACGGATGTTGCAACCACTGCAGAGATTTTGCTCAGATGTTCCAGTTCCATTTCACCAGCTTATAATCAAGCGTTTTCCTCCAGGTCAATATCATTCAGCCCAAGTGTGCCAGCCCACTGTAATTGCTGCCTGCCTTTCATGACCACACAAGGCTGTATGTGGCATTAGAAGGCTTTTTTCCAATAAGTCCGGTGGCTCAAGGTATCCTGTAAACACTTGGTCTTTGAAGAACTGTTGATTTGATGGTCTGCATCAGTGTTTAAAGCACCACAGTGAACTTTTATGTTTTATAATGGTTCAAAGCAGCACAGTTTGATAAATAAAACCGTTTCATTACGTTTACCCTCACATTTATCAAAACACCCTTTTCCTCCCTCAGGTCAAATAGTTAATTTAGAGGACATTTTCATGCAGCGTATACACATAGGTTATATGTAGCTGCAGGATGGAGCACCTGCTGTGCTTGCCTATAGTAAGTTGGGGTGATGGTAGGGGGTCTGTGTGTGTGTGTGTGTGTGTGTGTTTGTATGTGTAATGGAACCCTGAACCAATTAGCTCCTTCAGTGGGGGTGGGGGCGATGGTTACAGCGGTGTTCCACAGGGTACAGCCCTCAGCCCTGTGGGGTCCCGGCCAATAGCAATTAGCCCACCAACAAGAGCCCTAATTAGACCTCTTGATTGGCTTGGTGCAACAGTGCAACAACAACAACCAGCAGCCAACACATAGAGACGACCAAGGTGACTCCACCGTGATGCGTTGCTTTAAAGCCAGCTGTACTGTAATTAGTAAACAAGCATAGCTGTCTGTAATTGGTAAACAAGTAGTCGGGTTTGTTTGCGGTGTCATTATGAACCTGCTGGTATGTTAAGTATTTTTGTAAAGCCTTCCATGATTGAGTCTGTGTTGCTTTTGGTTCCTTTCTGCTTGGTAGCATTGTTAAATCACTCAGTATTAATACATCATGCCGGTTGTTCAGTCAGGTCTGTGCAATGGGAGAGACTGACGGCAGACAGAGCAAAGAAATAAATAAATCAGTAAACGGAGACAGGGAAAAAGAAGTGTGAAAGGGACGAGTGAGCTGCTGTGTGAGAATCTCATCTCCTATTATTTAATCATAGCAGCACCTGGTGGCTGTAATAGAATTTACAATCACTGCTCACACTGGATTTATGTGTCTGTGTTTTCATTTCTGTGTCTTTTCCCCCAGTCTCAATGTGAAGCTATCCCATGATGCAACATGTGTCCCCAGCACCTGCAGTGACAATGATGGCCACCCAGAGCGTTCCTCCACCATCGTACCAGGAGAGCCAACAGGTCAGAGGTTTCATCAGAATTCCTTCACAAATACATTATATTATGTCAAAGTTCGAGCACTTTGGATTCTTTGGATACATTTTTGTCAGTTTGGAAAGAGCGATTTCCGTGCACCAATCAGAATTATTATTATTATCATTATCTGCTGACAGCTGATTAGTTGAAGGTGATAAATCCACTAATGATTAACAGTGTTTTTGCCCTGAAACTTTAATTTAAATTGCTGCTTATTTACTCATGATTATTTAAATGCTATGGCAGTACTTCAAGTTGTAAAACAAAGTTTTCAAATGATTCAAATTACTTTTTGTTGTGCAAGAAACCATTAAGTTAATGACTTCAGTTCAACTAGTAATCTCATGATAATTAGTATATCAAGCAAATAATATATTTTATGGGAGATATAAAATTGCATGTACAGTGAACGGTAAGACTCTATGGTGCTATTAAAGTAATACTACAGCTATAGCAAAACTGTTAAAAGTTACAGTGAACCCATAGGGTTTTTTGACAATTTTCTTCCTTCAAATATCTTTTTGCTTATCTTCTGAGCTAAAACTCAATTTGTAGAAATGTATGATCGTTTACAGTTGCCACAAACTGAGCTGGCACATTTGATGAAAGTGACAACACATAGAAATGAGCATGGCATTGTTATCACACTTTAAACCAGGAAATATTTTATGTTTTATAGGTTATATAGCCTATTTATGAAATATTTTATCTTTTTTATCTTTTTTTTGCCAAAAATTAATTAACTGACAAAAACATATAGTATGTCATTTTACATAATGATGTCACTAATGTTTGGGCTCACTCTAGAGAGGTCTCACTCAATGTTGAAGCTCTTATGGACAAACTCTTGTGTTACAAAACTTATATAAAAACAACAGACACTACTGTTAATACATCCCTTCCTCCTAGAAATGATATTTGTGTATCATTAAAGTTTTCATAATTATGTTTTGGTGACAATGGATTATGTTCAGTTTTTTGAAAGACAATATTTATGTATGTGGCTTTGCAAGGAGGTGGTTAGGGTGGATGGTGGGCATACAGATTGTCACACCACAGTCTGGGGTTTGCACCTGCAACAGAAGCAGTAAAGGTTGGGGAAAAATTGGGATTTCTGTTCACTTGTTAATAAAAATTGTTAGGTCACTGCTGACTTTTGAATAATGCTAGTCACTACTATTTTGGCAAAAAACTAATGGAATACATTGTCACTCAACATTGTACTGACACATTCATAATCAACATTTTTGCGGCATGTAACAACATTTCCTTATAGTGTTCATAGTAAACATAATGCGGTCTGCACATTTATCTGAAAATGTATTTGCTGTTGCAAATTAGTTATAAATATAATTTCTAGGAGACAGTGGTGTTAACCGCAGAGACAGAGCATATGTAACATCCATATATATATATATATATTAAAATTAAAACATGCTGTCACTATAGAGAACATTAAAGGTTCAGTTTGTAGGATTTAGTGGCATCAAGTTGCAAATAGCAACTCCCCCACCCTCCTCTTCCTAGCACAAAGGAAAAACAGCGGTGGCCGAGAAACGCGCGATAAAACGGCAACGCCCCTATCTAGAGCCAGTGTTTGGTTTTTCCGTTCTGGGCTACTGTAGAAACCTGGAAATTTAACATGGCGGACTCCATGGAAAGGCATCTGTAGATAACAACGTCTCATTATAAGGTTACGAAATCACAACGATTCTTATATTCAGGTCATTAAACACTAATGAAAACATATCATTTCTGACAATAGATCCTCCTAAATGTTACACACTGAACCTTTAAAGTAAAAGTGGCCGCTACAAATACAGTATAAGTATGTATGTATTATAGCAATAATACAAGAATGTTATAGTGATACAGTAAGAGCATCAAACATAATGTAAGTCTCTACAGGAATATTAAAATGATGATCATGAGGTTGAATTGCATTTTATAATTAAAACATGAGTATAAGATACATCCTGCATGTCAAAGTGTAGAATAAGAGGTGAAGCCCCAGCCTGCGGTGTTCAGCACAACACCAACAGGTCAGCGTAATTAACGCAGCCCAACTGTGGCTGGACTCCGGTTTTGTCTAACACTGCGGACCATCCCGTGGAGGTGGAGGTGGAGCAGGTTCACCCGAGTGCCTAACCCTCCTCCTTGTCCACACCACCTCTGTCTGCTTTCGCCCAGAGGATTAGTGCCAGGGGAGAGCTTCCGAGCTGCAGTCTGCGCGCTCGGCAAATGCAAATGAGAGCTAGTTAAGTGTGAAGAAGCTAATTTATTTCCCATTTGGTGCTGGGATTAAGACTTGAAGCTTCCTCCCATCCCAACCCGACCCAAGAAAAAGTGGGAGGGGGGGTGGGGGGTTGTTAGACTCATTTCCTCAGAGAGAAGGCATGAGAGAGGAAAGTGGGGTAAAGGATAAAGGAGACAACGGATTGTGTTTGTAAAGCATGTCACTCTCCTGCCCAGCCTACAGCACAAATAACATCAAAAGAGGTTAAAAGATTCTCTAATGATTCCCTGTTGAACCAGCATCAGTGCAGTGGTGGTTCACAGCAAAGGAATATGTATGCTTCAGCAGTATGGCCAGTTGTGAACACGCTGTTTAGCTGCTAAATTGAATATTTATCATTTAACAGGAATCTATATATGACCTGAGCATGGCTTGTTCAATTACTGAATCTATCCTATCTTATTCATTTTTGCTTAACAGATTCATTACAGGGCTGCTGACCTGTCAAGCAACAATGAATAATTCCAGCTACATACTCATTTGTAGTCTGTTGCTGTCAGATGTGTGTTGCACCTTATTGCTTTTGTGAGTTTTTTTTTTTGTGATTAAAAAATTACTTAAATCTCACAAGCAGCTGAGTGTTCATGACAAGAAATAGAAGTAAGGATTTTACATAATTGATAAACCTGTTATTTTGGTCATGTGATATTCAAATGGGGCCTAATTGACAGTCTGAGGAAGTTTGGGGAGCAGGTTTACAGTAAGTGACACAAACATCAGCAAAAGCAAGCCCATGCTAAAGCTAATTAAAAGCAAATTATTGGTTGGTTGGGTTGTTTCGGTGAATTTATTTTACATAATTTTAACTTACATAAATACATTAAAACACATTTGTTTTTATTGATTTTTTTGTTTTGTTTCATCTTTATTTTCCTGTTCTGATTTGTTCAAACTTGAAACTTGTTTTTAGTGATGCTAGTGGTATAGCTATCAGTCGATCTGTCCATTGGTCCACCATTTTGTTCCAGACTGAAATATCTGAACAACTATTAGACAGATTGGTATGGACTTTGGTACAGATATTCATGGTGCCCTGACTAATGCGCTTTATGATCAAACACCTGCAAAACTAATGACATTCCCATAAGCCTCAGCTCTACTATGTGTCTTTTAGCAATGGGGGAACATGGTAAACATTACACCTGCTAAACATTAACATGCTAGCATTGTCAGTGTTGGCATGGTAGCATGCTGATATAAGCATTTAGCTCAAAATGACACAGTGCAGCCCAGGAAGAGCACCAGGCTTGAAGCCAGTTTGACAAAGTGGCCACAGTGGCCCGAGAACACTTGTTCCCATAAGCTTAAATTTTGAAAGAAGCAGCTGTAAAAATTGTGGATACACTTTTTTGAGCATTACACAAAATTATTTTACTGTCAGAATTTGTTCTATTTGGTTAGAATTGCTGCACAATTAAAATCATTTTATTCCCATTCAGGTTAGCAGAGCGCTAAATCGAAAGTTAGCAGCTCGGCCAGTGGAAGATCCGGTTAATTTTATCCTCCGAAGTCGAACATTTTTGGCTTTGTGCATTACTGAGCATCCTTCATAGGAATGAATGGAACCCCGCCATCAACTGTCTATCCAGCTCCCCTTAATACATCCATGATATAGCTTCCCAGAACTGCTAGCATGGCTGTAGACTCTTATTCTTGTTTATTTCTAGCTGGGAACCAAAGTATCCATTTCAATTTCCCATGCTGCAACTCTTAAGATTAAGAACCAACTGGAAAATCACTTGAACAGCAACAAGATTTTAAATTAAACTGTGTGATTGTTTTATGTGTCTCCAGATGACGGGCACCACTCAGCAGAACACCAAGACCCCACAGGTCCATATCCCAGCAGCCTCTGCAGCAGGAAATACCTCTGTCAGTGTGACCCTTGACCCCCAGGCCCAGCTTGAGTCCGACAAGAGGGCTGTTTACAGGTTAGTTCAATTTCACATTGTGTCATTAGAGGGTCTGTACGTCTCTATCTTAGAACTGTGCACAAATCTAAACATAGAGCAGTCACCATAGCAGTGAGATAGCAGACACTTTGCCCTTTGCAAACGAATTGTCAGACTAGTTTTGGCAATGTGCACCATTCTGCCCCTAAATTCTCCTTCACGTCTTCTTCTTCCTTTTAAATAATTGTTGCATTTCCCATGCTGGCTTTAAGCTTTTAAACTGTACGAAACTGACTTGATGTGCTGCTTGCCGATGAAGGCTACACATGCTAGTGTTGTTTTTAATATGTTCTCTTAAAATTGCCATGACATAAAAACCTTTGAAAATTGTACATGAAGGGTGCCTCCTTCAGTTTTCACTTACTGTCCTTCACAAACCAAAGAGCACCTTCAGTAAAATGCTTTCACTCATCAAAGGCGAGCACAAGCACCCTCAATTTTCTTCACTTTGAATTTAATAAATTGACTTTCAAGTAAGCATTTGATACACTGGCAATAGTGTTGTTCCCCTGACTACTGTACAGTGAATACTGACATAGGACTCTAGTTTCTTATTATTTATATTAGGGTGAGGCAGTGAATTAATGCCTAAATGAATAAATGCTTTGGAATGCTTTCCAGTCATTGTATTGGGATATAAATACCCAAGAGGGCCAAAGGAAACCAAAAAACACATATTTAAACCAAAACTGTTCATCAGGCAAACAGAGTTGTTTTGTGTGAGGTTCCAGACTGAAATTGTAAAACATAATTTATTTCTCTTTCACGCCAACAGTCATTTTCAAAGGTAAGCATCACTCTTCAAGTGGTAGAGACCTCATTTTGGAATTAGTTTGCTACATTTCTTGCTGAGGGGGACACTGCACTTTTGCGGAGAGATTTCAATATGTGTCATAATGAATACATCTAATCCATCCCTGTTTATTGACGACAATGTGGAATTTTTGAAATGATTCTTTTTCATTCACAAAAGTATTAGTACAGTTTCTTTAGGTAGACTTTAGAGATCCCCTCCAGACATGTATTAAGACGTACTATAAATAGTCGGCTTGAAACAATAATGTGTGTCTGTTTTTTTTCTGCAAAAAAGTTTAATTTCCACTTTAAAATCCTTAAAAAGTCATCTCCTCTTGCTACCTTATTAAAGCTTCCAGAATCTCTGAATATGCAAATGTTGTTGATCTGAAGTTTTCCTGCTGGACACAAGATGTCTCCTACTTCACTGTAAAGTCCATTCTTAGTGGATGTGCACTGGTGGCTTCAAGTTTCTACATCACACTTGTATAAGTTGCATACTGGACCAGGACTGACTATTTGTGATGTGAAAAATC